GTGGGCCTTAATGGGCCTGCAAGCTACGGGGTTTCCCGGCTTCCGGGTCCTCCGGCGGTAGCTGGGCCTGCTAGAGTTCTTCTTGGCCTCCGGCATAGAATAAAGAAATAAAGAAAAATGAAAATTTCTTGAGGAAATAATTTAGTTGAAGAATGAATGAATGAAGAGTGAAGAGAAGGGAAATGGCGGAGGGGTTGAGTGGAAGAGGGAAAGGGCGTCTGTAAGCAAAAGAAGATTCAGTGCGGGTGGGGGTTGTGCTAACTTGCCCTCCAAGTTCTCGAAAATTACGAAAAAGTAAGGAGCGGGGAGTTTCCCGGTTCTCTCTCTCTCTTTCGATTATTTGGTGGTCGGTGGAATATTCCCAGTTCTAGGATAACATCGACGTTTTATGCGTTGTATTAATTAGCATTTAAAACGGTGTTAACACACGGTGCACTTATTTTGGATTGCTGATTAATGATGAAAGAAAATTTTCTTAAGGACCCAAAATATGAGACCAATAGGGAGGTCCGTGTTCCCCTCCTATTGGATAACGAGTTGGTCATCATTAATAATAACCAACTCGTTATCCAATAGGAGGAGGACACCTCACTTGTCCCCTTATTGGTCTCATATTTTGGGTCCCTCTAACAAAGCTCATGATGAAATTTATTTGGTTTTGGATGATTAGATCGCAAGTTTTCAGAAGGCTCGCTGAGGGGCTGTTTGGTTGTTGTTGGTAAAGTTGTGTATTTATGACACAACTTGGAAAGTTGTTGTCCACCTCATTAATTTTACTTTTATACTTTTCTTTGTTTGTTTTTGATTCTATTGGAATCATAAATTGCTTGTTTGGTTAGTAAATGTAATTTTAATTATTTGTTTGGAAAGTGTAAAAAATGGTCCCTACTCAAATGATCATATTGGTTAGAATTATTTTTTATTATTTTTTCTGACTTTAATGTCAGCTTTCTTCTAAAATCATGTTTTTTTTTTATGAAATCACTTTACAAGCCACATGCGCATATGAAATCACTTTACACTATTTTCACAACTACAAACAAACAATTAAAAATGATGAAAGCTGACATTGAGACCCACTTTTTTACACTTTCCATCCTTTTACATGGTAAAAACATACAACCAAACAGCCCCGGAGAGATAATCTTATTACTTAACGGCTGGCCTCCATAGATTAGATTGTATAAGTGTGTGTGTATGCACACACCAATAATACTTTTCTTTAAAATAAAGTATTGATAAGTTGGGTTATTAAGTCATATGTTAGGTCATACATTTCTCAATTATTAAGTCATGTCATTTTCAAAAAAGTTCCGCATAAATCCATAATAATTAATATAAGTGGATATTAAACTTATATTTTAAAACCCAAATTAACCGGATCTCGCAAATTTGTTTGTGTTTCATTAAAGTTATTAAATTCTGAAGTGTTTTTATAAACTTTTGTTCTAGAATTTAGAGTCGTACAAAATTTCATGTTTGGATCGAACAGACAACAGATGGGACACGAATGGGCTGTTCGACTGAATAAAGATGGGCCTGGTCAAAGTGCATATTGGGCTTTATCGAGTAAATGAAACTTAGTTTTGTTTAAAATTGATTAATTAATCAGGAGGATGTTGGTGAACATCAAGTTTGTTTACGAGCTGCATCCTAACCTGAGCAATGCAAAGATTCAGCCCTTGCTACTTTTCCCCCCTTCTGACATTACAAATGAAATAACAGTTCTTTTTTATTGTTCTCTTTCTTTCAGAGCAGGAAACTATAGGTTGAAAATTTATTGATACAATCTGCATTACAAAAGATATCAGAAAACTAGCTCTATATCATAAAGAACATGTACTAGATTACCTTCAAACTGTTAATTACCTATTATTTTTACATGTTACCAATTATATTGAACACTACAACAGTCTAAAACATTAACAACAAACTAAAATTTGGCTGTAAATTATTATTTCATGATATATCATTTGGCTGGGCGATATTCAAGGGAAGACGTTCCCTTTTTCCATCATTGATTCTCAACTCCGCCGTTTATAGGTGTCATCTTCGCGTGAAGGGGGTAAAAAGACAATTTAAAAAAAAACGAAGAAAAAACAGAAGCAGAACGCTGTGATGGGCCAAGGTAAGCTTTAAAATATAATTGCCTTATTTAACGTAAGCAAATTTACGTTTGGGTCGTTAGTTTGGGCTGTCACGTATTACTAGTCTTTAATTGGCACATGCGCTACAACTAATCCAGCTTCAGGCCCACTCGTTTTCTATAAAAATACTTCCGCAAAACCTCTCCCAAATTTAACGAGTTTAATTTATAATTATTATAATAATTTCACAAAATTAGCATAACCTGTTATGGTTTTTTTTTCCAAACAACATCTTAAACTATTTTTATACAAGAGAATAACGAACCTTTATACTAAACAAAACAAAAGTATTCTTACAATCTTTAATAAAAATCTTAGGTCTAGTCAGAAATTTGAGCGAAGTTCTAATTTAAAAAGAAAAAAGTTTCTTAATTTCTCATTCCTTTTAGCCATGAAAGATATTTTAAACTTTTTAACGATGTTATTAGCATTGTTAGGATTTATTATTCTTATTATTATCGTTGTTGATGTCAGTTATCTAGCAAGGGGTTTAGTTAAGGATTGATGTGGGGTTGGAGTCCTCAAACTTCTTCAGATGACTGGCTCTGTAGTTCGTTGTTCTTCCCTGCACATAAAGAACTCATAACAGACTGGAGTTGGGTTCTCTGATTATTCTTCCGAAGATCAAGTAAGTATATAAACTTGAGTGGGAAAATGTGAGATGATGAAGAAGGTTTCAAAGTTACGTGAAAAGACCATAGGGCTATCTTGAGCTGCATAGCTTCCTTTTATAGAGGATCAGGAGGAAAAATAAGTAACTTGAGCTAAGTCCAGACAGACAGTTGACTCTACAGACAGTTGACATGTGTCGGATGCTGGTGAAGATGGGTCATCCATGTGGTTAGTGCAAAGCGACAGCAACTGCTTGGTGCTGACTGTGTCTGATGAGTCATAAAAACTATGGGGGCTAGAACAATGATGACTTTGTCGGAGCAGTTAACATAAGAGTAGTTGGTTGTTGCCGGGGGGTTCGAGGTACACTGCCTCTCTAGTCGTCCTACTGAAGGCCGACAAATACCGCCTTTTTAGTCAGCTACGCATGTTGTCGGCTAATATAGTGGGCCAAGTGGGGGTGCTCATAGGATCCATCTAGTGGGTAGGCTGACAAGTAGCATCTTTTTAGTCAGCCTCGAAAGTGCTCAACCGAGACTAGAGAGAAGGGACGCTGCCTAGCGAGAAGGGGCGACTCAGCCTAGCGAGAAGGGACGAGTCAACCAGGCAAGAAGGGTCACATGTCTTGGCCTGGCGAGATGGGACGCCTTGCTCTGTCTGTCTGGGTCGGCTTAGGGTGCAATCTGCTTGAGACATGATGTAGGAAGCTTAACTGACAATTTCATGGAAGATGCAGACAATCACGAGCTAAATACAGATTTATACGTATTATTGACATCCGCAAAGAAATGTGCATATCTTCCAACCCAGAAGGCGGATTCTAACATATTATATATATAAATCGCCTATCTCGACGAGACTGAGCCAACTAGATTATTAGATTGTTAAAATCTCATCAGTAATACCCAGTTTTAGCTGAAATCCAAAAATAATCAGCTTCTAGTTTATTTTTAGTAATAAAATTGGAGTCTATTTAGATTAGGAAATAAATTTAATATTAGAGTCCAATTAGATTAGGAAACAAATTTAATTTTGATTCATGATTTGTTTCCTCTATTATAGGGAGTCTTTTTTAGAATAGAATTTAATATTTTCTATTTTTTTTGTAATTCTAGTCTTACTAGGAGTCTTATTTGTTTTTCTATTTAAGAAGAGTCATGTAACCCCAAAGAATAATAACTATTGATTAATAAAATTTTGTTTTTCTTTAATATTTACTTCGCGGATTCGAAGATTGTCCTTGGTGGATTCCGAGGCTACTACTTCCGTGCTGCGTCAATTAGTATCAGAGCTTTGTTCCTCCGATCCGATGGTAGGTGATGAAGCCCCTTTTTCTCGAACTGAGTTTGACGTGCTGAAGACTAATGTTAGTCAGATGAAGACTGTCATAGAACGACTTGCGTCGACAGTGGAGCGTCTGAATACAGGAGGAGTTCGAAATCGCATTGATGGTCGCCAACGACGTGATCCGACTACATATGATGGATTCAATAGTGATGACTATGAAGCCTCACGCCGCGGTTATGATCGCAGAGACCACCAAAGATAGGACAATTATGACACTAGAAGATTAAAAATACCATCCTTCAACGGAAAGCTTCATGTTGGTGATTTCCTTGATTGGATTGATAAAGTGGATAAGTATTTTGAGTATAAGATCATCCCAGAAGATTGGAAAGTTAAATTAGTGGTCTACAGGCTTAAAGAAAAATCATCTGTATGGTGGGATGAAGTACTGATAAATCGATACCATCAAGGGAAGGATCCGGTTCGAACGTGGGCAAAGATGAAGAAATTATTGAGAGACCGTTTCTTACCTTCTAACTACAAGCAATGTAAGGTGCCTTTAAAAGATTCTTTTATCTTAGCCGCTACTGCCCGTCTAGCGAAGAAGGTGGAGCGATAAATTGAGCAAAACGACATACGACCAATATCATGGATGTTTTTAGAGAGTTATCAAACTAGTTATGATTATGGGAAAATTAATAAACCTCAATTCATCTCTGAGAAAGAGTCTGGATTTATGAAGAGCACTGAGGAAGAACCAATAAAGACTTCATCAATTATGTAAATCTTAGAACCGAAGACATTTAAGATAGAGATTGCTAAGGAGAAGGCTTCTCTAGTGGCAAACAACAAGATGCTCACCCCCGGAAAGGAAGATTTTGCCACCATCAAGATTCATTCTGAGGTTCCTGATGTTGATGATGATATGTTAATGAAGA